TATGAGAATTTGACTGACCTACATTGCGTGCCATAAACCACGGTGCAAAGACCAATAAACGACGACCTGCCGCAAATGATACGTTGAGTCTTCTTCCTATTGTCAAAGAACCTGCCACACGACCAGACTACTCAACACTTGTAGTGTCAACGATGTAGAGCCATCACCACTTAAATCTAGTCTGGACTCGAGTATAAGGGAGAAAGATAGAAGTTAACATTTGTTGTGTGCAGGAAACGAAATGGAGAGGAGAGAAAGCAAGAGAAATAAGATGAGGTTTTTAAAATAATATACTCAGGTAAGTCTAATACAAAGAATGCTGTTGGGATAATAATGGATGAAGAGATGAAAAGTAAAGTAGTAGAAGTAGTTAGGAAAACTGACAGAAGTATAGTCGTAAAATTAATTTTCAAGGAAAAAGTGTTGAATGTAATAAGTGCCAATACACCACAAGTAGGATGTGATGAAATATGCAAGGAAGTTTTTTGGAGAGAAATTAATGAGATGATGCAAGAAGAACCTGCCAATGAGGATGCGGTGATAGGCTGAGATATGAATGGAAATGTAGTCAATGAGAAGACAGGATAAAAAAAGAGTACATAGAGGTTATGGTTTTAATGATAGAATGAGGCTGAAGAAAGAATACTGAATTTCGCAGTATCGTATTGTCTTGCTATGGTTAATCCTCAATTTAGAAAGTGAGAAGAACATTATATAACTTAAGAGATGTATTAAATAGCTGAGGAAGTATTGAATAACGTCAGTATTAGTATAATACAAAATTTACAACAGTAGTACGCAATTTTTGAATTCTCAAGCAATATAATAATGTAAAATAAAAGAGAAATGCAGGTTAAGGAAATAAATAATGGTGAGAAAAAGAATATAAAAGGGAAACCTAAAAAGTTTAAGGGGAATGGACGTTTTGACGAAGCAACATCGAGTTACGGGACAAGATGTTTGATGCGAGTAACTTTGTATTTTATACAATTTAATTTATTTTGTTTTACATTTTTATATTAGTTAGTTAGATATAAAATTTATAATATTGAATATCAATTTCATATTATATTTAATTTTAATAGTATGGTTTATTCATGTATAATACTAATAAATTATTAAACTTGTAATTAAGGAAATAAGAGTTAATGTTGCTTTTAAAATAATTCAAAAAATGAAATATTATGTACTTAATATTATCATTAATACTTGCACATATTTTACGATAGTGATTTTAATCTGTTAGACATCATCTATACTTGTCTAACATATGTTATACTAAAAAGTTTATTTTAATACAGTTAGGACAAATTGAATTAGTTTTAGCTTCAATGCAAAGCTGAGAAGCTATTAATTTTTACTATGATGTGTTTTTTTTTGTGTCTGTTGCCACTTTTTTTTAGTTATCACTTGACTGATTTCATTCAACGATAAGTCAAAAGATCACAAATCATATATCGTCGAAGACATGACCTTAAAAATTGAAAAAACTTAGATCTTTTTCAACTGAACTTTTGAAAATGTTCCGGAAATACTGCGTCCTATAAACATATATCAAATCAAAGGTAATGTTATATACTATCAAATGAAAAACAAAATTATGTCCTGACATCTTATCTTCTATGTGCAAATGGCTGTCGAAAATTAAAAAAAGCCAGCACAGTGGGGTGCCGCCACAGTTTTGTACATTATTTTTGTATTGAATTGTTTTCAATTTATTATTGATATTGATTTTTAATATGTTAAAAGTAATAATATTTAACCTTTTTTATTTCGTCCTTTAAAGTGAATGTTTAAAAAAAAAAAAAAAATGAATTTATTACCATAACTTTTAGCTCAACTTTCCATGGTAGGGGTAAGGAAGGAGTGGATTTATGAGGGTGGGGGTAAGGAGGAGGCGTGGTCTTATCGTTGATTGGGTAAGGGAGGCGTGGTCTTATCATAGCGAAGGAAAAGGGAGGTTTGGTCTTATGATGGTGGGGGTAAGGAGGATGCGTGATACCACGATGGTGGAGGTAATAGGTGACTTAGGTAGGGATGTTAAGATCAATCAAAATGGCGGTTTAAAGTACGCATGCGCACTAAAACTTCATGTCTGTGGTGGGAGAGGTAGCCATTCGGGAATGGTTGTCTCCTCCTACGATGTCATCTACTGGAGGGTAAGGTAAACCTTATGTGAACTGATAACGTTCACTGATAAACATACACATTACATTGAAATAAGTACGTCAAATAATGGCCGCCGTTGCCACTTTAACATATTTACTTAATATTAACGCTACCTCTCTGTCAACAATTCATATATAAGAAAGGGGTAATGAAACATAACATAAACTAACCTATAATGAGTGGGAATGAATCCAACTTAAACAATGTTTTCTATGAATGTTATCATTGTCTACCAGACGCTTAGGTAAGCATATTTCCGACATCAGTACTGTATTATAACGCCCTTAGGCGTCAGCATTTTATGAGAACAAAGACAACGTCTGTCGTTATGACATAATAATTTCTAAGAATGTTATCCTCGGTTACTAGTCGCTTAGGTAAGCATATTTCCAAAGATGTTACAATATATTAATGGTCACTGCCGTATGCATTTTATAAGAAAAATGGCAACGTTGTCTTTTTTCACGCCTACGCGTTTTATGAGAACAATGGCAACGTTTGTCGTTATGGTATTATAATTTCTCAGAATTTTATTACCGTCTACCAGACGCTTAGGTCAGCTTATTTAAACATCAAAGAAGTCACCGTACAGTAATGGTTATTGTCGTATGAATATTATCATCGGATGCCAGACGCTTAGGTAAGCATATTTCCGACATCGTTTGTGTAGTACCTGTTTAAACCAACCAAACTTGTCTAAACAAGATCTTTGTCCAGTATAAAAGAACGTCACATTAATTTCAGACTCATTCACTCATTATCTTTTCTTAAGCGATTATACCGAAAACCATTTGTCTGAATATTTCTATTAGTTGTCCTGAAAAATTTCTATTTTTTGATATAAAATAAAGTAAGTAATACATTTATATATATTTTTCATTTAAACTGTTTACTTCTGACTTTGGTTACTAGTTATGTTTAGAGTTGTTAAATATTTATTAATTTTTTATTTTAGAATGGAGCAGTTAAAGAAACAGTTGAACGATCAGAGTAAATTTAAATNTATTTATTAATTTTTTATTTTAGAATGGAGCAATTAAAGAAACAGTTGAACGATCAGAGTGCATTAAAAAGATATTCAAAATTAAGTGATTTGGAGGAACACACGCCATACAAAATCATATCTATGAAAAATACAAGCACACGAAATGGGGTTGTCGTTGTTGGTTGTCTATTCAACAATATGAATGTGTTTATCCCGAGATTGAAATTAACTAATGAAGAAATCGAAGCTTACAATATCAACAATGATGACAACAAATTACATTTATTATATAGAGGCAAAAGTGGAAATGCATATTTGTTTGATTTTCAGTAATTTGTTAATATTTTGCCTTGTTTTTTAAACTTATTTATATAAAATAAAAAAAACTTATAATTATAAACTTGTAAGATTTAAAATTCAATAAAATATACTATTTTTATTTTATTGTCGTATTTATCTACACTATATGTATTTGTGCATAATGAATATTAAATATAAGTCTGTAGGACTAAGCAGTACAAAGAAGAGATTTACACATTAAATAACAATTTTAGTATAAGCTATGGTATTTGATGCACGTTGTACTATGTATGGTATGTAGTAGGCTGTTTATAAAAGTAGTAGGGACACTGTGCTGGTTTACCGAACAGTGTATCCTGGATTCTTATAATCTCGATTAAACAAGTCTGTACATGTTCAAACCTGGCTGAACGCTTTCAAATCCCTATTCATCCTGTTTGAACCTCGTCTGCTTTTGTTTATAGCTGTTTGTACCATATCTATCGGCGAAAATTAGACTAATTATTGCTATTGGTTTAAGTTACTTAATAATTTCACTGTGGTGTATACATAGCGCTATAATCGTTATAAGATTTTCTATATAAACAGACATTGCTTTAACTTGTTGGTAATGTGTTAAGTCGATATTTTTATGCTTTAAGAATGGCTGGCTCTCTCGCTACAATTGCTAAATTCTATAACAAATAAACATTTGTTAAACCCGAACCTCACAGTGAATTAATCGATTGCACTGATTACGTTTTGAATTTCAATCCTCGTAATTTCATTCAGGTAGGTNTCAATCCTCGTAAATTCGTTCAGATAGGATTGGATCCAAAAGATCGATTTAACGTAACTATTCGTTTACTATCGTCAACCCGTTACATACTTATAACGATAGATTTCCTACAACGGATTTATACGTTGATGGGTAATATTCTGTCCCTAATTCTCGACCCGGTATCAAGACAAAGGATTAATTTACCCAAGGATGAATACGTTACACTCTCAAAGACTACGTGTCAAGGAGAGTCTTCGATAGTCTTTGAATCGCAAGCACAAGATGAATGCCTAGTGTTACTCACCCAATCAGACATTTTAAAACTCAGCGCTTTGGAATGTTGTATCTTTGAGACTATCAATCAAAAGATGACTGTAATTCAACCATTGGTTCTACAACAGTTGGAACAGATGGCTCAATATATGAAATCTCAGTATGAAGTAAATGTGGAAAACAAATGTATGTTGATCAATGCGGTTTCGGATTATACGATTAGAAATAGTTTACCCAATAGTGATCTGAGCTACATAAGCCAAATAAAACAATTTGCAAGCCAGTAGTTGAAACAACGGTGGACGATGCTGGAAGAATATACTAAAGAAATGGTAAATTACATTTTTTTTTTTCTAACTGAGTAGACCGTATTTAATAAATATATATCATTTTTTCAGTCTTCTAACGGAGAAAACGTATGCTCGATATTTTTTGGGTCGCTGGCCGATGATATACAGTCGGAAACAATCATACCATCAAGTACAAACAACCAAAAAATATCAACAGTAGTTGTTAGTAGTAGCTATCCGTCGTAAAACGACAAGTATTTAAAACTTGTATATAATTTATAAAAAAAAAAAATTGTTTAAAATTAGTTTGAAAAACNACTTACCAAAGACGGCATTGTTCATTAGTTTGAAAAATGCAATTTCAAAAGCATTTGCCGCCTTTTTCCGCATTTCAGTGTTCAACTCAATGTATGGTTTCAACCAAGCACTTTGTTGAAACTCTAAAACGCGGTGCACCTGCAGTACAAATATTTATATTAGTATCATCGCTTATAGTTTATAGGTTAACTATACATACTTTATCGACTTGCAGTCCGTGTGCGATCGCCTGTTTAAGATTAACGTAATGTACGACGTACCGCTGTTTGGGTTTCAAAGTGGCCATGAGTTTGGTCTCTTTGGAACCCGGCGGTACATCGTTGACAGGCAAGAACGGCAAGTCGTTGTGCTCGTCATGCAGCTCTTGTGGATACGATACATCCACTTCATATATACGCCCCGTATTACCAGTGTCCGACAACGATTGGAGGTCAGCCAGAGAGTCTGCTCCTTTATACCACCGGAAGCCACTGTACAGCATGGGCTGACTCATAGCCCAGCCGTAAAGGTTATTGCCTGTAAACATTTAATGTTTTTAAACCACCGCTCAAATATTGCGCGTTTATATATGCACGTATAGATTACTTACAGTCTTGGTACACGATCCATGATTCTGGTTTTGACGGATCGTAATCGGGTGTCTTAGAATTGTTGGCCTTTGCATAGTGCTTGACGGCCTGCACTAGCCCACCACGAATGCCCTGTTCCACCATCAGTAGCATGTCGTAGTCGTTCAAGAGCTCCAGCTTCATCCTGGTGTATTTCAACATACAATCGAAGCTAAAACCAGGCGCGGTGTAATAGTGCGCCGGGTCCAAATTGTATGTTGAAATACAGATGTCGCGGAAGTTCTCAAACACATCAGCCAACAACAACACGTCGATCTTAAGATATAGGTCACTGTTTTCACCGAGGGTTGAGCAGTCGAAACAGTTCCACACCTCCGTGGCATGTCTATAGTCATCGTCATCAATATTAGACTCACTCAACTGACTATAGAAAGCGTCCTGAGGTGGTAGTTCCGTTTCTTCCAATTTAAATCTTATACTTAATTTATTTATCATATAAACTATCAGTGTACTCGTAGGGATATACGCCCTTACGCGTCACCAACGGCATGTCTTCCGTGTGGAACACCTTGGCCGTCTCCCGGAATTTAACGAAGTCGGGCGTCATTAGGTTACCGGCCAAGGTGGACAGGGAGGAGGCCATGAACCGGAAGGTATCAACGAACCGTATGGAGAAGTTATTGGTCACGTGTTTCGTGACCGAAATATACTTCTCCTCAGAATTCGGTATAACCGAAATCCTTTGGTCGTCGTACCCCAATTCAGTGACGATGAAATGCGCGTCGTAACCTGAAAGATTGTGCAAGAAGCACGGCACAAAGTTGACTGTCTTTACTTTCAGGTTACATGCATTGCACAACGTCTGTCTGAATCGGCCCGATAAATGACAGTGGTCTGCGACTTTGGGGTTGGAATCCTTGAATGCCGTGCGGCACAAGTCGCATAACACTTTCTCCCCGTGCCTGCGCACATCATCGACAGACATTCGGATGGGAACGTTGGTTTTACGCAACAATATAGAAATCAGATAATATATCAATATAGAAATAGCCGCATATCAACTTGTGTTGCTCCAACGCTTGTTGATCTCGAAGAATATGCTTTTTAGGCATATCATCAAAGCTAGTGAAGCAACGTTTGCAAGTGTATATGCGGCATTTGTGATTAGTTTTTTGGCTGCGCACGAGCCTCGAAAAATCTGAAATGTACGCGTAATGATACTTGTCAGAGTCACCGATGTACAACAGGTCAAAATGATTCTGTTGCTCTTGGTCGGCAACTCTTTACGGATACACCAACCACTTCATCTTAACGTCGTCTCGTTCCAAGCCGTACACGTTGACAGACACGTTACGGTTTCATCGCTCAAATATTTTAATTTGGGACACAGGTGTGGGGAACGTCAATCCCGTGAAATCATACCTGTGTTTCTCGTTAAAATAATTTCGTTCGACGCGAGATTTATTAATCCTGCTAACATGTCTTGCCAAAATGGACCACTTGAAACAAGACTGATCGATATTCTGTGGGTTGATGATTGCTTTTCTTTGATTAATCTCTGGTGGGACAGGAATATATGATGAGCCGGCGAGGGGCGTATACTTGTATACGCTGAGCATAAGGCCGTCTATATGCGTTAGCGTGAATCCGCTACCCCTACCCGAGTACGCGTCTTCCTCGGCAAACATAACCTCAAAATCTTCATCAACCGCACACCCGATATCCGTATCGGATAGCAATGCCCTAGCCCATGTCTTGAAGACACGGTCTTCGGACGGTGCTTCTGATCGCGGTATATGGTATGAGGCCTCCAATTTGAGATTATACTTGATCGGACGGTTACCTACGATTTCAGCGAGTCTGGCCACCAGCTCTGCTTTAACGGCGCGCAGAAAATCTCGATAGCTCGTGAAATTTTCCACGTTCTTCCGGTAAAACCAAACGGCTCCCCGCTCCAATGCGGAATCGATCTCGGTGTAATCACGAGTATCCGTCAATTGCTTACGTAACCTTTTCGACCTAACCGCGCTGTTGTTGGCTCTACTACGCTTAGCCGCCTGACGTGATGAAGCAGATGTAAACGAGGTAGCTTTAATCAAAAATGAAATAAATTATTTATTTATTTAATGGAAAAAAAAAAAAAATAAAGATTGTAGGTGTAGTAAAATTAAAGAGATATTAAAATGTTAAAAAATCTACATACCTGTTGAAGACGTTTGCTGGTTCATGATTTTTTATTTGCGCGTGTAAAATATTGAAATAACAAATTTATAGTTTTCAAATAATCAACTGTGCGTTAACATCAATTAAACTCGTATGTGATAGGATATGGAGCGTTTAACCGGTATTATAGTAAAATAACAAAATGCGTAGGCGTGAAAAAAGACAACGTTGCCATTTTTCTCATAAAATGCATACGGCAGTGACCATTAATATATTGTAACATCTTTGGAAATATGCTTACCTAAGCGTCTGGTAGACGATGATAAGATTCATACGAAAATTACGATCTCTTTGGTGTTTGAAATATGCTTACCTAAGCGTCTGGTAGACGATGATAAGATTCATACGAAAATTACGATCTCTTTGGTGTTTGAAATATGCTGACCTAAGCGCCTGGTAACCAATGATAACATTCTTAGAAATTATTATGTCATAACGACAGACGTTGTCTTTGTTCTCATAAAATGCTGACGCCTATGAGCGTTATAATATAGTAATAAATTTGATGTCTGGAATATGCTTACCTAAGCGTCTGGTTACCAACGATAAAATACTATGTAACAAATAAATGCATACAACAGTGATTATTACTGTACGGCGACATCTTTGATGTTTAAAATATGCTTACCTAAGCGACTAGTAACCGATGATAACATTCTTAGAAATTATTATGTCATAACGACAGACGTTGTCTTTGTTCTCATAAAATGCTGACGCCTAAGGGCGTTATAATACAGTACTGATGTCGGAAATATGCTTACCTAAGCGTCTGGTAGACAATGATAACATTCATAGAAAACATTGTTTAAGTTGGATTCATTCCCACTCATTATAGGTTAGTTTATGTTATGTTTCATTACCCCTTTCTTATATATGAATTGTTGACAGAGAGGTAGCGTTAATATTAAGTAAATATGTTAAAGTGGCAACGGCGGCCATTATTTGACGTACTTATTTCAATGTAATGTGTATGTTTATCAGTGAACGTTATCAGTTCACATAAGGTTTACCTTACCCTCCAGTAGATGACATCGTAGGAGGAGACAACCATTCCCGAATGGCTACCTCTCCCACCACAGACATGAAGTTTTAGTGCGCATGCGTACTTTAAACCGCCATTTTGATTGATCTTAACATCCCTACCTAAGTCACCTATTACCTCCACCATCGTGGTATCACGCATCCTCCTTACCCCCACCATCATAAGACCAAACCTCCCTTTTCCTTCGCTATGATAAGACCACGCCTCCCTTACCCAATCAACGATAAGACCACGCCTCCTCCTTACCCCCACCCTCATAAATCCACTCCTTCCTTACCCCTACCATGGAAAGTTGAGCTAAAAGTTATGGTAATAAATTCATTTTTTTTTTTTTTTAAAACATTCACTTTAAAGGACGAAATAAAGAAGGTTAAATATTATTACTTTTAACATATTAAAAATCAATATCAATAATACATTGAAAACAAATTCAATACAAAAATAATATAATATATAATTAAAAGAATTACTAATCTGGGTATAAACAAGGAAATAGATGTTGATGTTGCTTGTAATTATCCATCATTTTTTAGAATGAAACACTATCTACAGATTTGCATCGAAGCGTTTCTTATGATAGTGATTTTAATCACTGTCAGATATTATCTATACTGGACCCAACTATGCCACGACCTCACTGTGGCGGCACCCCACTGTGCTGGCTTTTTTTAATTTTCGACAGCCATTTGCACATAGAAGATAAGATGTCAGGACATAATTTTGTTTTTCATTTGATAGTATATAACATAACCCTTACCCTATCTATGATAAGACGACGCCTCCTCCTTACCCCTTTTTTTATTTTTATTTTTTTTTTTAACACGACCGGCTTACATGCGGACCGCCCCGGAACTACCGTTAGGTATTGCCTCAGGGCGGCCCACGCCGTCTCTAAAACTCACACCACCACGTTGTGAATCAGCCCGAAATTAATCAAGAGCTGATTCACAACGTGGTGTGGCCTCCCCCGTTAGCCGGATCCCAAAAGTCGGGATCCGTTGCCCGGGTTGCACCACGTGGAGGTGGGGGCAGGACTTTGCGAAGGGGGCATAAATAACTCACAAACATATAAACATATAAGCACACTTATACCTAAGGCGCCGGCCTAAACCAGCGCCTTAGGTCCTCCTGTACCGGGCGGCGCGGCTGCCGCTGCCTCAGGCGTTCGGCTTCCTCCTTCCTTTTCAGGACGGATTCCGCGAACGCCTGGACGAGCCTCCCACGCCTCCCGGCTTCTNCTCCACGCCTCCCGGCTTCCCAACATCAGGTCCACCAAGGACCCGACGCGGATCGTGGACCCCAGACGGGACTCCAGCGAGTCCCGTTCCTGGGCCCACGCCTCGCACCGGAAGAGGGTGTGCAGAGCGTTGTCTGCCTCTCCCGGGCGATCCTGGCAGTAGTCGCATGTCGGCGCGGCTGCCCTCCGAATACCGTGAAGGTATTCGTTGAAGCAGCCGTGGCCGGACCACACTTGCGTGAAACGGTAAGACATCTCACCATGTGTCCGGGCCACCCACCTCTCCAGGCGGTCGGGTCCTATGAGGGACCTGGTCCACTCGCCTCTCGTCGTTTCCTCCGAGAGGCGAGCCCGCCACCGGAGCATGGTGGTCCGCCGGAGCGCCAACCGGTCCTCGGGTTCGAGGGGTCGGTCGCGCTCTCGGCGGAGCTCATGTCCGGCGGCCCGTTCCGCGGCTAGCAGGTCGGCGGGCGGCAGTGACGACAGTATTCCCGCCGCCACTCCGGAGACCGTTCGGTAAGCCGACACGGTCCGGATCGCCGCCCGCCTCTGCACCCGAAGCAGGGCTTCGCGGTTCCTGGCCGAATACTCGAGGGTATCCGCCCAGACCGGGGACCCGTACAGGAGGACCGAGTGAACGACGCTGACGAGCAGTCTGCGCCGCATTTCCCTCGGTCCTCCCAGATTGGGCATGAGCCCCGCCAGGCTGTCCATGACTTTCTGGGCCCGTTGGGCCGCACGAGTGATGTGCGGCCCGAACATCAGACGTTTGTCGAAGACCAGGCCCAGATACGTCATGGAATCCCTGAGCGGGACGTCCACCCCCAGCACGGTGAGCCGCGGAGGGGCGAACTTGTACCTGCCCGTGAACAGGACCGCTTCGGTCTTGTCCAGGGCGAGGCTCAGTCCGCTCCCCTCCTGCTGGATCCAGGCGGTGACTGCGCTAAGAGCGCAGTTCGCCCGGGATCCAGCTTCCTCGGACGAGGCGCCTTCCGCCACCACCAGCGTGTCGTCCGCATAGCAGACGATGCGCACGCCCGGTGGTAGCGGAACGCGGAACACCGCGTTGTACGCGATGTTCCACAGCAGAGGCCCGAGAACCGACCCTTGCGGGACGCCTCCCGTCACAGGTCTGGTTCTCGGGCCCGCGGCGCTCTCGTATGTGATGACCCGGTCGCCGAAGTACGACCGGATCATCCGCCCGAGGTACGGAGGCACCCGAAACGCGTCCAGCGCTCCGAGGATGTGTGACCATCGCACGGAGTTGAACGCGTTCCGGATGTCCAGGCTCACCGCCACCCCGAAGCCCGGTTCGTTCTCGGCCCTGAGGGCCAGGTCTCTAAAGAGGGAGTCCGCGTCGTCCGTCGACCTCCCTCTCCTAAAACCGAACTGGCCCTTGGCCAGTCCTCCCACTGAGGCCAGGTGGGCTACGATCCCAACTCTTCCGCCGCTTCTCTCGCGGAGACACGCCGGTCCGGTACCGCGGGCGCCGACCATTGAGCGAGCAATAAGCCCGTCTCAAAAGCGTCGACGTCCGTGGTAGGTCCGACTCGCCAGCCCACTCGCCCACCGCGCGACGGCACGCGGGGCANGAGACGGCACGCGGGGCACGGCTTGAGGGGGACGGCTGCCATCACCGCACTCGTACACGATGTACCGGTGGTCGCTGAGGTTTTCCCTGTACGGGAGAACCGACCAGCCAATCACGTGCGGGTGCAGCGACGGGGACACCAGCGTGACGTCCACCACCGAGCTCGAGGAGTGACCCTCGAACGTCGGGGTGGATCCCCTGTTGGCCGACACCAGCCCGAGGGCTGACATCAGGTCCAACAGTTCTTCGCCACGCTGATTCGTGTCCGCCGACCCCCAGACCGGGGAGTGAGCGCCTTTCCCCCTTTCTTCTTCACAGGGGGAGCCTTCTTTCCAGGCCCCCCCTTTGACTTCGCGGCCTTTGAAGCCGGCCCCACCCCCGGACAGTCCTTGGCCTGGTGCCCCTCCTTTTTACAGGAGAAGCACCCCTTGGATCTGTCCGATCCCTTGCAGGTCTGTGCCACGTGCCCGTGCTCCAGGCACCTGTAGCACCTCAGACCCTTGTCGCCAAGGATCCTCAGCCTACAGGTGACCCATCCCACGCGGATACGGGCGAGACCTGCAAGGCGAGGGGCCAGCCTTGCCGGCACCTCCGCCCGGGCGTAGCGTCCTTTGCCGCCGGAGTTCTCTCGGACCACAACGGGTCCGATTTCCGGCGGCGATTTGTCCTCCGGACGGCGGAGGGCGTCTAGCAGTGCGCTCTGCACGTCGCCCCCCTCCGTCCATTCCTCCACGTCAAGGAGCATGACGGGCACCGTCGTCACCGGACGATGGACGCGCACGTCATGCTCCTTCAGGGCGCACTTCAGGCTTTCAGCTAGGCAGTCAGCCTGGGCGCCCGAGCCCCGAACCTCCAAGAGTACGGCCCCCGTACGGGTCCGCCTGGTGCCCGCCAGTTGGACCCCGAGGGCCTTGAGGTCAACGGCAGCCATCGCAGTCTTTATGACCGCGGCGTACGGTTGACCCTCTTTCAACGGACCAATCACAACCGCCTCCTTCTTCGGGACTTTGGCCCGAAGCTGGGCGGCTAGTCGGGCCTCTCGACGGTGGCGGCGGAATCGGCCTGGGACCGCTGGGGACCTCCACCTTGGGAGCTGCCCGCTCCACCTTTCTGGCCCCTTTACGCTTCACCACCT